CACCTGTCCACCACACAGTCAGTCAGACGCCAACTACTACCAAGGGCAAGACCAAAGAGCTGTCAAGACACCAGAGACAAAATTGTGGACCTCCACAAGGCTGGAAAGGGCTAAGGGGCAATTGCCAAGCAGCTTGGTGAAGATAGATCAACTGTTGGAGCAATTGTTAGAAAATGGAAGAGGCTAAAGACGACTGTCAGTCTCCCTCGGAATGGAGCTCCATGCAAGATCTCACCTCGTGGGGTATCACTGATGATAAGAAAGGTGAGGAATCAGCCAAGAACTACAAGGGAGGAGCTGGTCAATGACATGAAGAGAGCTGGGACCACAGTTTCAAAGGTTACTGTCATTTAGAACACTACGCTGTCATGGTTTTAAATCATACATTGCACGGAAAGTTCCCCTGCTCAAGTCATCACATGTCCAGGCCCGTCTGAAGTTTGCCAATGACCATCTGGATGATCCAGAGGAGGCATGGGAGAAAGTCATGTGGTCAGATAAGACCACAGTAGAACTTTTTGGTCTAAACTTCACTCGTCATGTTTGGAGGAAAAATAAGGATGAGTTGCATCCCAAGAACACCATCCCTATTGTGAAGCATGGGGGTGGTAACATCATGCTTTTGGGGTGCTTTTCTGTGAAGGGGACAGGACGACTGCACTGTATTAAGGAGAGGATGAATGGGGCCATTTATTATGAGATTTTGAGCAACAACCTCCTTCCCTCAGTCAGAGCATTGAAGATGGGTCCTGGCTGGGTCTTCCAACATGACAAGGATTCAAAGCACACAGCACGATAACCAAGGAGTGGCTCCGTAAGAAGCATATCAAGGTTCTGGAGTGGCTTAGCCAGTCTCCAGACCTAAATTCAATAGAACATCTTTGGAGGGAGCTGAAACTCCGTGTTGCTCAGCGACAGCCCCGAAACCTGACAGATCTAGAGGAGATCTGTGTGGAGGAGTGGGACAAAATCCTTGTTGCAGTGTGTGCAAACCTGGTCAAGAACTACAGGAAACGTTTGACCTCTGTAATTGCAAACAAAGGCTTCTGTACCAAATATTAACACTGATTTTCTCAGGTGTTCAAATACTTATGTTCAGCAGTGCAACACAAATAAATTCTTTAAAAATCATACAATGTGATTTCCTGAATTTTTTTTTAAATTCTGTCTCTCAGAGTGGGAATGAACCTACAATGTGAATTTCAGACCCCTCCATGATTTCTAAGTGGGAGAACTTGCAAAATTGCAGGGTGTTCAAATACTTCTGTTCCTCACTGTATATCTATGGTGAAAAAAATATGTATCTGTCTCAGATTAGATTTTTTTCTGCCGCTACATGATGATTTGATCTTTGTGATTGATACCTCCTATTTTGTGTTGGAGGAATTTATCACCTACCTTAATGACAACAATCTGAATTTTAAATTTACAGGAGGTAAGGATGAGAGTAGTATTCCTTTTTTAGATGTACATCTAACACAACAAAACAGGAGGGTGATCACAAATTTGTATCTGGCAATACAGTCTTGAGAGCAGACGCGGGTCACCTTAGACATACCATCAAGGGTATACCAGTGAGACAACTCCTTAGGGTTCGTCGTATATGTTTGACTAAGAAGGTTTTTACACCTGAGTTTAACCTCCCTGGCGGTATGATTATTTCAGATTTTTGGTGCTGAAAGCGGTACCATTATTTTGCATGGAAATTTGGCGTTTTATATTGTAGGCTTGTCATTTTTAGGAATAACTCACTGAAATCTGTCCGAACAAGAGTCTAGTAAACATTCCGGGTAGGATAAAACTTGAAACACGAAATCATAAATTATAATTTAATAAATAATCATAAAAAATAATAATTTAATAATACATTTAATTCAATAATATAATCAAACCAAAAAGACTGAAATTTGAAATATAGCACCAAGTTCGCACATTGCTGAGCAAAGTCGCAGAATTGTTTTCAGTGTCTGAATACGAATTTCCCCACGAATCATTATCACTCAATTCTGCAAGTGGTTCTGATTTACTATCGCTGTTCTCTAGCTGGTCTAAAACCGCTTTTGAGCTAAAGTGACGCTTTTTGGTCGCCATGGACTTTTCTAAGTTTCCAGGCAGAAAGAACAGTCAAAATGCAGGCAGGGCACAGGACAAAGCAGTAGGGCCAAAATGTATGTGAAATGCTTTGAAACAGTAATGTTTTACTATGTCATTTTTGTTTATTAGAAAATTACAGTTTCTAAAATTTTTAAATTTGCCACCGGTTCTGGCCCTCATATGTCCCATACGTCCCCCCACACTCGCAGGGACCGGAACACGGAAGCCGGATGCCGGCATTGGCCGGAGGAGATGGGCGGGGACAGTGCAGGGGATGCATCTCTGGAGCGAAGGACAGGGTGGGCGCTGCAGGGAATCCCTGAGCAACACCGCATGGTAAGCCCAAGTGTAGCTCGGGGATACCGCTTGTGGTACTGAAATTTTACCCCGAGCTTCACTCGGGAATACCGCCAGGGAGGTTAGGACAATGTGTCATCAGTTTTCGCAATGTGGGTAGACGTAAGCTGATTTACATAGAGCCCTTAGCATTGTTGAATCTACACCTAGGTCATCATTGTTAAAAGATAAGAAAAGAAATAGAAGGGAACATGGTGTCCCAGTTTTTTCAATCGCTATAGCTTAGAAATTTCAAAAGTGAGGAGCATTGTGGAACAGTATATCCCAATCTTATATAAGGATGAGACAGATGCAAATGTTCTCGGTAATGGGATTAGGGTGGTTTCAAGAACTCCTGCTGTGAGTCAGTATTTATTGTCAAATAGTTTTTCTAGCACTAAAGCGGGTCCCACTCATTTGGTGATCTTAGCGCAGATTTCTCAAAAAAGAATACCTGTCAATGCCTATTGCAGTCAGATGGGATATTTACATTCCCTGTGATAGCAATAAAAGGGATTAAAAAAAAAAAGGGACAGTGTAAACAATCAAAATAACTAAAAAGAAAAAAAAAAAAGAAAAGCACCCTTGCCCTCCTATGTGCGTTGACCCCATGCCAGTATGTAAACAGCAGTTGAACCATGCATGTGAGGTATTGCCACAAATGTCAGATCGAGGGCAGTAATTCTAGTACTAGACCTCTTGTGTAAATATAAATTGGTGACCTGTAAAGGCTTTTAAAGAGTCACATGTAGCAATCTTGCACTCCAAGATGGACGCGGTCATCCATCTTGTTAAGAATCTTCCATTTTTTTATCATCTCTCTCTCCCAAATCAGACTTCCTCCTCCAATCATCCCCCCTCCTTCTCTGTTGAGTGACATGTGGTCTGTTTGATGCAGATCACAGGCAGAAAACTAATTGGGAGGGCATCATGGTTATAAATCTCACAACTAGCTAGGTGCCCCGACGTCTGCCAGACTCTTGCTAGAGAGGGCTCGTAAAGCCATAAACCAAGTCCTTCATTGAGCTCAAAGGTATTCCAGGGAGTCGTAAAAACAGATTTACATTTAAAAACTCACTTTTTCATATGTTTATATCTCCAAATAGGACATATTTATATAAACATGGAGCCCATATTCGGATGGCTGACTTTAAGACAAGTCTCCTGGTATATCACAACCCCTATCTGGCATATACAGGAGAGCAGAAAATGATATCTCCGTAACCATTCAAGCAGATATTTCATATTTCTAACCGTTCAGCAGAAGATTCTGCATGTTAATCTACTCGTGGATAGAATGTTATATGTGTCCAGGGTAAGTTATGAACCATAATATAATTTGAACAGGCTTTGGTCATAGCCTGAGGTCTCCACCTACAACTGCCTCCCCAAATGAGGCGAGTGGTTCTCTGTTTCAGGGAGACACACTGTGGAGTTGCTAGAAAAAGCTAAGCTGAGCTGAGTTAAGGGAAGTTGAAGAATCTACCTTTTTAACATCGGAACTAACAGTGGGAGATAAAAGCATCCTTTTGGTTCTGAAACTTGAAAACTGCTTAAACCAAGGCTGACTGGCAAGTACTTTATCTGAATTCCTTTCTGTTATCTCTTCGCTGTGCTATTGTTTTCTGCATATTTATATATATATATATTGGCTATATATTTTTCTGTAAATATTTTTATTGCACCCTTTTGACTTTTTAGTAATAAATCTTACTTTCTGAACGTGTTGAACTGTTTCTAAAGCTCTTTAATGCAAAGTAAAGCACCCCTGTCTCTGAAGAACGCTACTGTGTGTTTTAAACATCTGCATACATCTGTCTGCAGTGACATTGTGTATACAAATGATTATTCAAACATCATAGTGTTATTGCTGATATTGCCGAGTTTCCTCTTTCTCTGTACAAAAAGGAGGTGGTGGCAGTGTGAAGGGTTAATTGCGTAATTAACCTGACCCAGTAACAATCGCTCCCAGGCTGCCGGCACACAGGTTATGGTCCATTAGCTGGAAAATCTTTGTGCAGGGTGCAGCTGGGCGTGGCATTGTTACGCACGTGACAGCGCGGTTTAAGATTGGCTAGTCTTTCGGTCACAAGTTTGGTGAGAAGGGCTGGGGTCTGATGCCGCGATCATCACTTCACCCATCGATAATAAAAATGTATGTACTTTGTTGCCATTGCGCAGGCATGAGCAATTTTAAAGCATGTCATGTTTGGTATCTATTTACTTAGCGTAACATCACCTTTTATATTTTATCAAACAATTGGGCAATATATTGTGTTTTTGTGCATTAAAATTCTAAAAAGTGTATTTTTTTCCCAAATTTTTCCCAAAAACTTTGCATTTGAAAAATCGCTGCACAAATACTGTGTGACATAAAAAATTTCAACAGATACCGTTTTATTCTCTAGGGCCTCTGCTTTCAAAAAATACAGTATTTTGCACTCCATAAGATGTACTTTTTTCCCCCAAAAAATGGAGGAAAATATCTGTGCGTCTTATGGAGTGAATATGGAGCGGCCGGACCGGTATTCCCACAGCCGCCATGTTACAATATCGGGCTGGCCGCTCGGCTTTACTGTGCAGAAGAATCTGCTTCTCGGTCCTACCTGTTCCTCAGTCCAGTGGTGTCCTGCTTCCCCCCTGGTGCCAGCATCTTCAATGTGGGAACCCGGCTGTGACAGACAGCACGTGCAAGAAGTGCTGTGCTTTGTGAATGGCCACCTGAAAACTTCTGGGACCTGTCATGTGTCCCAGAAGACTGTCGGGAGGACAACTCCATGAAAGTGAGAGCGGGTACCCCTCCCTCACTCCCCAAAAAGGTCTGCGGTCTCTGGTCATCTCTTGTAGTATGTCCACAGTCTCTGGTCATATCCTGTACTATGTCCGCAGTCTCTGGTCATCTCCTGTACTGTGTCCGCAGTCTCTGGTCATCTCCTGTACTGTGTCCGAAGTCTCTGGTCATCCCCTGTACTGTGTCCGCAGTCTCTGGTCATCTCCTGTACTATGTCTGCAGTCTCTGGTCATCTCCTGTACTGTGTCCGCAGTCTCTGGTCATCTCCTGTACTATGTCCGCAGTCCCTGGTCAGCTCCTGTACTATGTCTGCAGTAAAACATTTCAACACATACCGTTTTATTCTCTAGGGCCTCTGCTTTAAAAAAATATATAATGTTTCGGGGTTCAAAGTAGTTTTCTAGCAAAAAAACAGGATTTTTTATGTGAAGAAAGAGTGTCAGAAAAGGCTTCATCTTCAAGAGTGGTTGATGTGTGGCATAAGCTTCTAATGTTGGCCCTGAAATGCCAGGATAGTATAAACACCCTTCCAAATGACCCCTTTTTGGAAAGTAGACACTCCAAGGTATTTGCTAAGAGTCATTGTGAGTATTTTGCAGATCTCATTTGTTGCCACATGTTTTTGGGTTTTGGGTTTTCAAAAAACCCTGTGACAAAAATTATATCTGTAAAATACTCACCATGCATGTTATCAAATTACTTGGGGTGTCTACTTTCCAAAAAGGGCTTATTTGGGTGGGGGATGGGGTGTTTGTACTATCCTTGCATTTTAGCACCTTAACCTCCCTGGCGGTATGATTCTTTCCGATTTTTGGTGCTGAAAGCGGTACCATTTTTTTGCATGGAAATATGTATTTTTTTTATTGTAGGCCTGTAATTTTTAGGAATAACTCACTGAAATCTGTCCGAACAAGAGTCTAGTAAACATCCCGGGTAGGATAAAATTTGAAACACGTAATCATAAATTATAATTTAATAATCATAAAAAATAATAATATATTAATAATACATTTAATTCAATAATATAATCAAACCAAAAACACTGAAATGTGAAATATAGCGCCAAGTTAGCACATTGCTGAGCAAAGTCGCAAAATCGTTTTCAGTGTCTGATGACGAATTTCCCCCACAAATCATTATCACTCAATTCTGCAAGTGGTTCTGATTTACTATCGCTGTTCTCTAGCTGATCTAAACCGCTTTTGACCTAAAGGGACACTTTTTGGACGCCATGGACATTTCTCAGTTTCCAGGCAGAAAGAACAGACAAAATGCAGGCAGGGCACAGGACAAAGCATTAGGGACAAGATGTATGTGAAATTGGTTGAGACAGCAATGTTTTACTATGTAAAATGTAAAAAAAAAAAGAAATTTTTTTAAAATTTTTAAATTTCCCGCCGCCAGCGGCACCCGTACATCCCGACGTCACGGGGACAGGACACAGAAGCCGGATGCCGGCATCGGCCGGAGGAGATGGCCGGGGACGCTGCAGGGGACACATCGTGGGAGCGCAGGGTAAGGTAAGTGAAGAACAAATGCCGGAGCAGTGCCGCATGGTATTCCCGAGTGTAGCTCGGGGTTACCGTTTGTGGTACTAAAATGGTACCCCAAGCTACACTCGGGAATACTGCCAAGGAGGTTAAGAAATGTGATAGGCAGTCAAAAAGTAAATTATAAAAAACATCAAACAGCACAAATCAATTCTCAAAAAAATTAAAATAATAAAAATAATACAAAAAACTTATAATAAATATAATATAAATTGAATAGTCCCACTCCAACAAAATAATTATTGAGATTAATATGGTGAGTACAGTGAAACTAAAAAGTCCTTATTCAAAGACCCTTGACCAGTGTTCACAGCCGTCTGTGCTCAGATCACACATCGCACTCACCAGATAATGGTGAAAAAAATGCCTTAATAATGGGTTTTGGAATCCTAGACCCATTCAATTCAGCCTCCAATTGCCATGTTTGGGTGGAACTCTCCCAATGCAGGTATAGATATACGCCTCAGAACTCCAAACCGTGGTAAAAAACCAGCCTCCAACCTCCAGGATCACCAGAGATCACTCGCCATAAAAAGAGCAATAAAAAAATGTATATAGTGTAATACTGCAAGACTCAACGCATTTTGCCCCTCCTCCAGGGAATTTTCACAGACAGAAAATGCCCTGGAGGAGGGGCGAAATGCGTTAACGCATTTCTGGATTCGCCGTCCAACGTACCATGTCACTTCTGGTGAGTGGCGCTCTCAGGGGCCATCTTGCTTGAGGGTGGATTCTTACATGCTGTCATCTATTGCTGACTGTGAGATCTTTACCCTGGTGATGTGGCATTCTGGCTCCATATAAACAATAAATGCTGATTATATTCTTTTAAAATGTGAGTGGTTTGGTATTTTCATTCATCCTGTTTGAGTCTTGCACTATATACATTTTTACACTATATACATTTTTTTCTGTACCAATCATCTTTTGGAGGCTGGTTGTTACCATGGTATGGAGTTCTGAGGCATATATCTATACCTGCATTGGGGGGAGTTCCACCTAAACCTGGTGATTGGAGGCTGAATAGGATTCCAAAACCCATAATTAAGGCATTTTTTTTCACCATTATCTGGTGAGTGTGGTATGTGATCTGAGCACAGACGGGTGTGAACACGGGTCAAGGGGCTTTGAATAAGGACTTTTTTTTTTCACTCTACTCACCATATTCATCTCAATAATTATTTTGTTTGGAGTGGGACTATTCAATCTATATTATAATTATTATAAGTTTTTTGTATTATTTTTATTATTTTAATATTTTTGAGTATTGATTTGCGCTGTTTGATGTTTTTTATTGTTATTTTTAATGTTTACACTAAAGGAGCAGCAGCAGTTATTTAGGAATTATCTCACTATTTAAAAAAGTAAAAGCTACGTAAATTCCAATATATTCAGTATCTCACAGAAGTGAGTACACCCCTCACATTTTTGAAAATATTTTATTATATCTTTTCATGTGACAACACTAAAGAAATTACACTTTGCTACAATGTAAAGTAGTGAGTGTACAGTTTGCATAAGAGTGTAAATTTGCTGTCCCCTCAAAATAACTCAACACAAAGCCATTAGGGTCTAAACCGCTGGCAAGAAAAGTAAGTACACTCCTAATTGAAAATGTCCAAATTGGGCCCAAAGTTTCAATATTTTGTGTGGCCACCACTACTTTCCAGCACTGCCTCAACCCTCTTGGGCATGGAATTCACCAGAGCTTCACAGGTTGCCACTGGAGTCCTCTTCCACTCCTCCATGATGACATCACAGAGCTGGCGGATGTTAGAGACCTTGCTCTCCTCCACCTTCTGTTTGAGGATGCCCCACAGATGCTCAATAGGGTTTAGGTCTGCAGACATGCTTGGCCAGTCCATCACCTTTACTATTTAGATTCTTTAGCAAGGCAGTGGTCATCTTGGAGGAGTGTTTGGGGTCGTTATCATGTTGGAATACTGCCCCGTGACCCAGTCTCCGAAGGGAGGGGATCATGCTCTGCTTCAATATGTCACAGTACATGTTGGCATTCATGGTTCTCTCAATGAACTGTAGCTCCTCAGTGCTGGCAGCACTCATGCAGCCCCAGACCATGACACTCCTACCACCATGACTGTAGGCAAGACACACAGACACACTTGTCTTTGTACTCCTCACCTGGTTGCCGCCAAACACGCTTTACACCATCTGAACCAAATACGTTTATCTTGGTCTCATCAGACCATAGGGTATGGTTCCAGTAATCCATGTCCTTAGTCTGCTTGTCTTCAGCAAGCTGTGTGTGGGCTTTCTTGTGCATCATCTATAGAAGAACCTTCCTTCTGGGACGACAGCCATGCAGACCAGTTTGATGCAGTGTGTGGCGTATGGCCTGAGCACTGACAGACTGACCCCCCACCCCTTCAACCTCTGCAGCAATGCTGGCAGAACTCATTCATCTATTTCCCAAAGACAACTTCTGGATATGACGTTGAGCATGTACACTCAACTTCTTTGGTCGACCATGACGAGGCCTGTTCTGAGTGGAACCTGTCCTATAAACCATTGTATGGTCTTGGCCACCATGCTGCAGCTCAGTTTCAGGGTCTTGGCAATCTTCTTATAGCCTAGGTCATCTTTATGTAGAGCAACAATTCTTTTTTTCAGTTCCTAAGAGAGTTCTTTGCCATGAGATGCCATGTTGAACTTCCAGTGACCAGTATGAAAGAGTAACACCAAAGTTAACACACCTGCTCCCCATTCACACCTGATACCTTGTAACACTAACAAGTCACATGACACCAGGGAGGGAAAATGGCTAATTGGGTCCTATTTGAACACTTTCACTTAGGGGGGTACTCACTTTTGTTGCCAGCGGTTTTAGACATTAATGGCTGTGTGTTGAGTTATTTTGAGGGGACAGCAAATTTACACTGTTATACAAGCTGTACACTCACTACTTTACATTGTAGCAAAGTGTCATTTCTTCAGTGTTGTCACATGAAAAGATATAATAAAATATTTACAAAAATGTGAGGGGTGTACTCACTTCAGTGAGATACTGTATATACCATAGTTTGTAGACACTATAACTTTCACACAAACCAATTAATATACATGTATTGAGATTTGTTTTACCAAAGACATATAGCAGAATACATTTTGGCCTAAATTTATGACTAACTTTGAGTTTATTGGATATTTTTTATAACCAAAAGTGAAAAATATTGTTTTTTAAAACTTTTTGGACTTTTTTTGTTTATTGCACAAAAATTAAAACCACAGAGGTAATCAAATACCACCAAAAGAAAGCTCTATTTGTGTGAAAAAAAGGACATAAATTTTGTTTGGGTACAGCATTGCACGACTGTGCAATTACGAGTTGAAATAGCACAGTGCCAAACAGCAAAAATGACCTGGTCAGGAAGGGGGGTAAATCCTCTGGAGGGCTTGTGGTTAAAATATGAAATGTATAAATACATAGTACTAATTGCAGGTTAGTACTATGTATTCATAGGGTTTAGATTTACTTTAAATGTATGTTAAAATGTATGCAAAAACAGCAGTTAAATATTTAGTAGTTACAAATTTCAATTTCTGGTGATTGAAACCATTGAAACCAACTACGTTTCTATTACTACTATGGTCTTTTTTTAAACATTGATTTTATTTCCTCTTCTGAATAATGAGTGAACAATGGCAAGTGAAGGAGCTGACTGCCTTGCTTGTATTAGCAGTTGGCTTGAGAAATGATGTGACACCCCAGGAGAGAGATGCCTTTGGAAAGACTTATGATATTCACATATCATGGCAAGGTTTAAATTGCAGTTCTATCACCATGTTT